GGGGGGGGGGGGGGGGGTACTCATAGTCGTGCATGCCGTAGTTGTTAGACCATTGACCTCGCATCCCTACAAACCCGTGACGGAGCACGCCGGCTTCTCACCGCACCAGGCTCTCACATCACCAAGCGCGAAGCGCCGTGAGATATTCGGCAAGTCGCATGAAGGGTACGCTGCATCCTGCTAAGGGTGTTCGGCATCTTGTGCTTACGTCCTCGCGTACGGATGGCAGCTGCGTATGACTTAATTTACTTTCTGGTGCTTTCACTTCCAGAGACAGTTGTAAGCACTGTGTAACTGCCTTGAGGGTGCTTGACCATTTTAACACAACGTGGTGCGATCATCCCCCTTGCGCGGAGTGAGGGTTCTCCACCCCGCACAACATGATCTACTCGACCACCACTATGGTTCCCGCAAAAAAAAAAACCGGTGACCTGGTTGCCGAGCTCACGAAGTGAATTGGCTTGTATTACAACGTCGTTGCCAAGCGACGAAAACCCAATCCCGATGGCAAACACCGGGGGGGGCGGCTTGTTTTACAACGTCGTTGCCAAGCGACGAAAACCCAGCCCCGATGGTAAACACCGGGGGGGGGGGCGTTCGCTGGTGCATGTTGCGGCGGCGCAGCTGATGCTCTTTGGCGTTTTCACAACTGTCAAGAACCGCTACTATCCATCAAGATTTCAAGTTGTGAGCTTCTTCTTTCTTCACTGCGGGACATTATTACCAACAGTTCATGTGCACGCCCCGTACGACCCGGCATTCGTGTCTTGATCCGGTTGATGCTTTCTTGTAGGGCACGCCCTCAGCGTCCGGCAGCGGGAGCACGCGGAGCTGCGGCCAAGGGGGGGAACAACCAGCAGGGTGAGTTCGGGCTTTTGCGGGGCACTTGCGAGTGACGTGCTTCCGAGTTGTATGCCTAGGTTTGCCGAAGCCTGTCCGTTCGGTTGGACGGTCGGAAGGCTCAAGAGCTTGTGACGAAGACGACGTGCATGATTGTGTGGGTTTATTTCTTTCTGCCTTCGATCGAGGTGCAACGAACGCGACTGCCCTCGCAGGAGTGTGGTTTCCTACACGGGATGATATGAGTGTTTCCACCACGGGCTCCAGCGCACAGTCAGAACAGAGCATGCAGCAGTGCGAGGAACACGGACACCGCGACTTTGATCTCTGTCCTCGTGTTTCGCCCATCCTCAGCGCCCCCCGACCCCTAACCCTCCCCCGGTCCCCCTGGCATGTTCCATTCGTTTGTGGCCGTGCATGCACTCCCGCACGTTGACCAATGCATATCCAGGCATCATGCGGTTCTATACGGATGACGCCCCCGGCCTACGCATCGGCCCCACGGTGGTGTTAGTATTTTCGTTGGCGTTCATCGGCTGTGTCGTACTCCTTCACATCTGGGGCAAGTTCAAGGGATGATTTGATTTTTTATTTTTTGTCATTTGAGTCTTTGCACTGGCGTGTGCCACGCGGCACCCACCTGGCCAAGGCACGGGATAGTAGAAATCTGGGGGGCGGGGAGGGCGAGGTATACGTGTATGATGTCGTGCCTTTGCGGAGGGAGCACTTTTCCTGCGGGTTTTGGGGAGTTAGGGCAAAGCAAGCGTGTCTTGTGTTCGGCTGCAGAGTTTGCATGCGCCAGCAGCATGGTAACTGGGAAGATGTTGGCGTTTCTTTGTGTGTTCCCCACCTTGCTTTCGGCTGGTGGGTTTGGCGAGGGGAAGATGCCTCGACGTATCACCAATGAGCACCGAAGAAGACAAGCGAAAGTCTCTTGCTGGTAGGAAGCAAGGCGTGCGGAATTGTAGTGCAGCCTTTTGCGTTGATAACCTTCACGCCCCCCCCCCCTCCTTGCCACCTTTGGGAAAGTAGAAGGAACTATTGGCCATCGGTGATCGGTCCTGTGGGGACAATGCTCCGTCCTCTAGAGGACGCGTGGTCAATGGTCTAACCTCTACGGCATGCAAAACATTAGAGTACCCCCTCCCTCCCTTTCCGGGGTGAGGGGGATGGCGGGCAAAAATACAACTACCGGCCCCCGGTGTTCTCGAGCGGTGGTTGGCGCTAGCTAGTCAAATAGAGTGCGAGCTTTGACTGCGGGCGCGGGAGTGCCCATGCGCTAATACAAGAAGATATGTAGTCCGAGAGTTGCTTACCTGCACTGCACTTTTTTCGCCCGACCTGACGAGGGGAAGACCCAGCAGATTGGGCGAGGAATAGGCTGGAGAACTGTCCTGAAAAAGGCGATTGTTACCGTCATCGACCACTTTCACCAGTGCGCGTATTCAAGAGCGCCACTATGAGAGCCTCCTTTGGCCATGATACACCAGCTGGTGCTGACATCTTCCATCGAGCTATGTTCTTGCGCTTGCGTATGTTCCTACGGCGCAGGAGCTGTTTCGAGTTATGAGACCTTGACCGGCGACATGATGCATGCGCGCTCGACCGGCTTCCACTCCGAACATGGCGGGGTGTCGTGACTACAAACGCCCCCTGATATCGTGCAATTTTTTTGTTTTTTGGCTCCCATTATTGGACTCTGTCGTCTGCCCCTCTGGCCCCCATCCTCCACTTCTACCAGCTGGACGACCCAACCGGGGTCAGATAGGAGGGGGGGGTTGGACCCCCTCCTGCGGTTCCTGCCTGAGATATTTTTATCGCGATGAGGGTACAGCAATTCCTTCCCTTGCGACTAATGAAATCGATCAAGTTTATGTATCCCTCTCATTACGTTCGCCGTAAAAACGGGGCAAGCACACGTTCCGCCTTCATTATTCCGTGAAGTCCCCCCAATGACCTCGACCTCGTTACGCCCTTAAACGCACCACCGACTGCCGCTCCTGAAGCCATGTGTACTGATACGACAAGACACGAGCCTACCGCCTAGCACATGGGGGCGGGGGGGCGTACTCTTATGTTTTGCATGTCTTAGCGGTTAGACCATTGACCACGCGTCCTCGAGAGGACGGAGCATTGTTCCCACAGGACCGATCACCGATGGCCAATCGTTCCTTTCTACTATGCCAAAGGTGGCTCAAAAATGTCTTGCCTAGTCTGTCTATCCTAACGATATCCCTTCCCGCCTTTTCAACCCACCTCCTATGCCCCAGTACAGCTACCGTCCT